TTGTTATTCAAATTGGCATCATTATCTATTGATCTGTCTAGAAAACTTTTAAAAAATTTTTAAAACTTTAAAAATAATAAAAATATTTTTCTATATAAAAAAAATTCCATTAGAAATCCTTTCAAATGCAATGCAAGTTTATTGTTATATACTAGTAAGAACGTCTATTTAAAGTTTTGTTAAGTAAAATATAAGAGAATCAAAATAAATTTTTACTACGTAAATTATTACATACATACAAATATTGTATACAATACGACATTATGTATTTGAATGAAATTCACATATTATATAGTAATGTAATGTGTATAATGTGTATGTTAACTATAAAAGTCATTAAAAAATATATTTCAATATTATATCTTGTAATATTAGAATATTTCATGTATACAAGGATTTTATAATATGGGAAGATTATTCAAGAATAAATTCAAATATTAAAATATTCAAATATGTTTGTATTGTATTTATATGTATATATATACTAGATAATATACAAAAGTATGAAATATGGTTATCGGATATAAATTTACATACTACTCATATTATTGTTGTACCTCATAGCAAATAATTTTAAATTTTATACATACAAATATGTGTATTTTGGAAAATACACAAGAAAAAAACCTCATTATACCAAAAATGGTTATGTTATTTTTTGTTTTTTTTTGGTTTTTACACCTGTAGTGTTATAGAAATTCCATTACTATACAAAGTACTGAATATTAAGTATTTCTTATTAAATACAATATTAGTTATTTTCATTTTTAATATGAAAACTTTCAAAATTTTATTTATTCTGGATAAAAAACTAGATTTATCTACATTATAAGAGAAATTGGAAAAAAAAATTGATTTTCCCATCTTTTCTTTTATAACTTTGATTATTAAATAAGAAACAAATTTTTTAGTCGGTTTGATATGAAATTGTTTTGGATTAAAAAAAAAATATGCAAAAATTAAATTTTAATTTATACAGGGTGGTTCGCATCAAGTGGCAAAAAATTTCAGGGATGGTTCTCTCATCAATTTCCAGCAAAAATTATTGAGCGGTGGAGGGTGCAGATATACTTCTTTTCGAGCTAAATTCTGTTGAAAAAAATGGTAGAGTAACCAAAGTCGGATTATTTTACAAGCGATTTATTGCTCTTTATTTTCGATTTTATAGTCGGTACCTTGAAAACGATTGTATCTGCACTCGAACTTTTTGATAGAAATTTATCAAAGAATCATCCCTGAAATTATTTGCCACCTTATGCCTGTATAGAAGAATAAAAAAATTATTATGAAAGAATTTCTTTTTTAAATAAATTTTGAAAACTAAAAAAATTAAATAAACATTATTAAGGAAATTTAAAAACAAAAGAACTTAACCTCAATTAAAAATTTAATTGAATTTTTTTTTCTTTAAACACATTTTGTACCTGTTTGAGAAAACTCTTTAAATTTTGTTCGAATTGAATTGTTTTTGAGTTGTTATTTTATTATTAAAATAAAAAATTAATTTTCTTTTGTATTTTAAAATTTTTATTTTCAAGTAATCTTGTATAATTTTCATGAATATTTAAATTTTGATACACATTCAATAAATTTATAGGAGTCTTTTATTTTTTAGTTTTAAAGAATTTTCAAATTCGTTTAAAGTATTATTGAAAAAAATTATTTTTTTAAGATTTAATAAAAATATTTACATATAAGTATATTTAATTCAATGTCCTGTACTGTCCAAAATAAAACTTTTGTTTCAGATATTTGAAAAGCTTGAAGAACAAAATTTTATGAAATGAAGTGTAAAGAAGTTCTTTCTTCTAAATTTAAAAATTTTACTAAAGCTGATGTGACAATAATAGTTTTGCATGAACAAAATAAACCAGTTTTATGAGTAAGTATATTAACTATGAAAAATGTTCCTGTTTCAAGTAAATAACCGAAGATATCCTTCAGGGAGTTGGACATGGACTCACCAACACTGAGAACGAGGGCAACTAGGCAGAGGGTTTTAGCAAATACTTATTTTAATAAAATGTTTTTCTATAGGTTTATGAAAAACTTGTTGATGTTTTGCACTTTTCTGAATTTTGACATAAAATTCTTGATATTTTCAAATTTTTGCACATAAGTCTCGAGTAAGAGATTCAGTTATACTTTCATATGAGAAAAATGTTATCTTTATTACTTAAAATGAAAGTATAGACACGGTAGCCCCATAAAGCTTTCTGATTTTTTCTTTAATCTTTTTATTTCATAATAAGACTCGTCTTACTGCAGAATATATAAAAATGATTTTATTCTTAATTTCATTCACTCTCATCAAAATATTCTAAATTCATGAGAAATATTTGTTGTAATTTAATAAAACTACTTTTACTTGTGTTATATTTCTCTCCGCTTATTTTTGTAATATTTTTTATTGAGAAGTGTGTAGAATGATGGAACAAAAATTATAACCATAAATTTTATTGTATGATTTGATAATTCTTAATACTGTTATTAAAATCTTTAAAATATCTCAAGATTTTCAACTTTTTTTTCGTCAATTATATAATTTTAAAGAGAAAAGCGCGATCTAAAAATCTCAATTCCAAATTAAAATAAGGAAATATAACAAAGTTAATCTTATTTTAAAATTTATAGTCAAAACAAGAGAAAAACTAAATAAAAATTAGTTAAATTTGAAATTAATTTTGTTTTAAAATTTAGAGGCTTTTTTAAGTCTTTCGATTTTTCTTTTAATATATACGTATAGTTTGCTTATATTTTTATTTTTCTAATGAATAACATAATGAAGCGTCTAATTCATTATTAAACAAAAAAAAAAACCCACGCATTGGCATGAACCTTGATGTTTTATTTTTGAAATTTTTTAAATAATGAGTTTTTTTTTTTGGTGAATATACGTAAGCTGATTTATAATTTTACATAGAGAAAGTCTAAATTTGCAAATTCATTTAAAAATAAATATTAAATTATTTTTAATTATTGGCGGGAATTTATTTGTTATACCCTGACGTGTCAGAAATGTTCTCAGTATTGTCAAACATCTGAAATAATTATTGACAAAAATATTGTTATTAACGCGGAAAAAATCTTATTTCATGCGCATTAAAATCTGGCATAATTCATTTTGTATTAATTTATCTATTATATTTGACTTTAGTAAAATGATGACAAACTGACTTATTTTTGACTTTCGATTATTTTATATAAAACGCGTATAAAATCATAATCTTCTTCTTAATTCTTTATTTCCGTTTATGTTTAGTTTCCAAGTGTCTCTAGAAATACTGAATATATGTTCAAACTTAATTTATGCGTTTGAAATTCAATATAATTTCTAACCTCAACTCAACTCAATATAATTTCTAACCTCATATAAAAGCAATGCAGCATAATCGTTTTAGCCGAATTGAAAACAGAATTTCATTTTTGATCAACCACTTTAAATATATTTTAATTTTTTAAATACTTAAAATTAAACGCATTTAGAACATTGTGTATTAATTTAAAACCATATAAGACTGTTATGAATTCAACTTATTGTCGCACATTTGGCATGAATATTTTTTTTTTTGTTTCTGTCGGTAAATTTTCTTATAATAAATTGTTATCATAAACTAATTCTACTTGTAATACAGTAATAGGATTAAAAACTTAAAGATTAAATTGATTTTTTTTTTAACTGAGTATATTTAAGATTTGTTCACCTTTGTACCATTATATACAATAATATGCCGCAATCCTTGTAAATACATAGAGATTAAAAATTGTGGTGATTTGAAAAATTGAAAAACTATTAAATATAACTGAGTATTAAAATATATGAAGAAACATTTGTGGAAAGCCTTATGAACAGTGCTTTAAAATTTGTGAATGTGCGCCTATATGGGAGAAAATAATTTATTTCTCGAGATATTGTAAATTTTAACTTAATAAATTACAACTAATAAATTAATGAATTAACTTAATAATCTCTTATGTTTCTATAAAATTTAGTATAATATTCATACAAGATTTCACTAAAGTATAACTGGCGCATGTGTACTACATATATGTGTATTTAATATCAAAGTCCAGGTCTTGATGGATTGTATTCAACCAAAATAGTATTCAAATAGAGACAATATGAAATTATAGAATATATAAGAGTGTTGACGGGCCTCACAATTCAATACATGTGCTAACATATTTGATTTTCTTTTTTTTTATATATGTTTGTTATATCAAGTAGAATGCATAATTCTACAAATTTTAAAAGGAAAATATTTACAAAATTTTGTTATGGCATTTTGATTATAAACTAATTTTCATATGAAATTGTTTAATTATTAATGAAAATGTTTATTTTTTAATTTTATGTTAATATTTGCAATATAATTATTTATTTCGATAATTTTTGATTTTTAACTCAAATACTTTTTGTTCTTAGTGCTTATTTATTAGTAAATTAATTAATCTAACAAAAAACTGTTTGTCTACAGTCATTTTTCATTTTATTAAAAATTTATAATATTTTTTATTCTATTTAGTATTCAAAACTATTAATGGGTACGCTTATTTACATACGCGAATTTTTTTTTAAATTCTTATTTATTTGTTAGCTATATGTAGAATTTTATAATTTTATGAACTCATTAAATTTTCACGAAAAATGTGCACTTTATTGAAATTTTTCACTATTTACATAAACATTTTTTATTTTATTTCTCTTTCATATTGAATCGCGGCACGGCAATACGTTTGAATCTATTATATTTTCGTATTTCAATTTTGTTATACGTTTTATGCAAACATATGTACATATGTATATTTTAGATACAAGCACAATTATACATGGAAAATTTGTATTTTTAATTTTTTTTTTCTATTTTACGTAATACAATTTTTTTCTATTTTATTTTTTAAATATTCCATAATATCGTTAATTTTTATTAGTTGGAAAATTATGTATTATTTGTTATTATAAATTTTTAATTTTACGTAAAATTACTATTCGAATATACCATTTTTAGCGTTTATTGATTGAAATGAAAGCGCGTTACTCTTCTTCTGCTTTAACGATTAAAAAAAATCTAGTCCGTTTACAATAAAAATTATTTAAGGCTGAACGAACGATCAATGCCTCATTTGCGGATCAACTAAAGGGAAAATCATTTTCTCCTTTTTTTTTGCTTAATGAATTCAAAAAAACAGAAACAAAAAGTTAGAAAATAAAGCATTTTTTTTTGGGATTTTGAATGAATACAATAGCAAAAACAAAAAATAGGAAATTATTTTTGGACGAATATTGAGATATTGAGATTGAGAATGTTAACAGAAAATTATAACAAATAAATTATTTATAAATATAAAAATAACAAAACAATAATAATCATCATAGGAAAAATAATGAAAAATCTCACAATAAGGTGAATTTTCGGAAATGAGAATATCAAAATTTATTATAATGAGAATAATAGAGAAATTAATAATCGAAATACTTAAATTTAAATTAAGCGAGAGTAAAAAAGAGATTTACCGTATAATAATGAAATGAATATGCGAGCATATAAATGACATTAGATAAGAGTTAAGTTAAGATAAAGACTAAAGAGTTGTTTTGCTATTTTATATTTTGTTGTAGACTTGTAAAAAATTCTAAAAATATTAAAATTTTTGTTTTTATTTAGAGAAAAAAATTTATTTTGAGATTTGAGTCAAGTGAAAACAGAACAATAATATTATTAATTGAATTGTGGTTTTGTGGTTTTCGAAAGTATATCGCAATGAAATTATGAAAGAAAAATAATTTATGTACATAAATGTAGAGTATAGACTTTATTGCAGAGATATGCTTAACTTAATTTCTCTTTGTAGTTGTGACAAATTATATGCAAAAATTTCTTCTTTTTTGTTTTTGGATATAAATTGTGTATGTGTTAGCTTGGCGCGTGTATTGCTCAATCAAATTATAAATTATAAACACACATAAGAATTACATTTATTTGTAATATGAAATTACAATATTTACAAAATTATTTGTTTTCTATTTAGTTTAGACAATCAACACTATATTTTTAATTGAAAATGTAAATTTTAAAAAAAAATTTATTTTGAAATATAATTAAATATAAGAGAAATATTTTAAATGTTATTATGGAGAAACTAATGAAGAGCGGAAATATAAAACACAATTAAATTTAAAAATATTCTTTTGGCGCCAAAATTTTATATTATAGTTCAACCTTGGTAGGAGAAACTCCGAAGAATCACGGTGTCTTTTCAACTTAAAGAGTACTCACTATTCTCACTCGTACAGAATAGAGTGGGCGTCAAGTGTCAAATTTGGTATAGTTTATTTTTTTTTCCATATAATAACTATTTAAGCATTGTTGAACCTAGTAAAAAGTGAAAAAAAAAATATTGAAAAAAATTTTCTTCATTAAAAAAGTTTTGCTTACATACATATGTATGTGGGCAAGAATGCGCACAGTAAACTTCGTAAAATTGATTGCAATTGATTTAAGGCGATGTATCCCGCTGTTTCACTTACCAAGTAAGAAGGAAATAGCTGACTGTCATATAATATTTGTATTTAATAATTTTCGAGTAAGAAAAATTTTCCGTATTGCGTATCTCATTTTTTCTAAAATGTATGCAAAGTTTAATAATTATTGATTCGTTTGTTTTTATATTAAATATTTAAGGTTATTGATATTTATTGATTTTATTTTGCTTATATTAAATATCGAATATTATGATAATATGGTATAATAATTAGTCTTATATCAATTTATTATTTTATAAGTATTGGATATTAAACTATATTTATAACGTTGAATATCATTTTTATAGTGAGTTGACCGGGGTTTGAACCCAAGATTCTTTGGTTAGAGGACGGATGCAGCACTGGTTAGGTATAAAAATGACATATTCAATAAAAAAAGCAAAATTTCGATTCGAAAGAAAGCGAAACGGAAAATTGACATACATAATAATATGGTTAGTTTAGGGCGAACAAAAAATTTGTATATATTTTCTTAAGAAATTAAGAAAATAACTTTGTTGGTGAATTTTCTAAGTTTCCTTCTTATAGAAATTCAACTGTATAATATGTATTTGATGATATAGTACATATATGATTGATTAATATATGATGAAATTTCTTAAAGCGTCTCAATAAATTTTAGGCCTATAACATACAAACAACAATATATTATGACAATTATTGAAATATTTAATTTGAAAGAAACATTAAAATTTTAATAAAATGTAAGAATTTATAGTTCTTAGAATGAAAATTTTTAATTCTGAAATTTTAATTGCGTCCTTGAAATTAATAAATATAAGTAGGTAGGGAAATAAATTGTTGTGATTCCAAATTTGTTATCACCTTAATTTATAAATTTATAAATTTTTATTTGTAGTTTGTACATATGTTAAAAACACCATTTTGGTGCCTACCTTTTAAAAAAAGAATAATTTATAATTGGAAATTATCTTGTTGTTATATTGAAAATATTCTGTTCACTTGTTTACAACGAAGTATTGTGAAATTTCCTGTTTTATTTTTTTTTGGCAATCGGAATGTTAGACTGAGAGACACGAAATAATTATTTTTAGATTTTTCATAAAAAAATGCGGTTGCATGTATGTATGTATGAACATCTTTATAATGTAGTTTGTGGTTTTAATGAATGATCCAATTTTGTATATTTTGAAATACTCTCCAAGAATATATGAATTGTTTATTTGTTTTTGAGAGAGTTTGAGTTTAAAATAATTTTATTGCATTTTTAAAGAAGCAATTACAATTTTGAAAGCTTTTTTTTCTTATTTATTAATTTTTATTTTATGGAAATTTTAACTTTTTTAAAATAAAATTTCATTTAAGTTTGACGTTGGTGATATTTTTGTTAAAATAAAAGCTCTCTGTAAAGTTCATTTTATTTTGTACATTTTGACATTAGAGATATTATTGTTCAATGACATAGTTAAATATTGATTAATGTGGTTTTAGGCCGGGTACTCGTACGTTCAAAATACCATTAATTACACAGTTCTCGAAAATTCACAACTAAATTGAGATAATTATAAAAAATTAAGATAAATTGCCATTAACGACATGTTAAAAAAACCTGAATTTTAAAAAATTAAATTTTTTTCCAGTACGGGTTTCCAAAAATTTTTTACTTTCTATTTACAGCTAATTTGCTTGATTTCATGAATGTATATAGAAATATTGTAAAACAATAAGTTAAAAGTTTAAATCCAGGCTTAAGTTCTATTACTAGCCTTGCATTCAGCATGATGAAGTTACAAGTGAATTAACCAAATTTTGACAAAATATAGATCAAATTCTAAAAAAGGAGTTAATCAGATTCTTCATCTAAATGGGTTTTTTGAAACATATTTTATTTTGAAATAATTTTCAAATTTCTTAGTGAGTAAGAGAATAAGTGAGAGAAAATAAAGTGGTATATTTCAATATTAGAAATGGATGTGAATGAATATGGAAATATAAAAATTCAAACATCCTTCCATATTAGTTTTGCAATGTTAATCAAACATTTTGCCAAAAGAAAACTCACTTTTATTTACGGTTATTTCAACCAAATTTAATTTAATATTTTAATATATTTATGTCATTTTCAAATGGAAGCTCATTTAAAATTATTTTGTGTGTCATTTTGTTGTTATATTTACCGTTACATTATTTTAACAATGATATGGATTTTCTAATATATTAAAAATAAAAATAAATCTTATCCTATTTCGTGCTCCATTAAATTTTTCATAATAATTCAACAATGCAAGAAAAAAAAGTAAAATATTGTTAAAGAAGGTCGGACTGTGGATATTGTCGCTTTTATCATAATGCTATTTGTCCCTATTATATTTCACTTCCGTCACTATTTTAGAACCTTTTTATTTCTTTTATTTTATAACATTTTATTGTTTACGTATTTTGTGATTACATGAAAGTTTTTTTCTATATGTGTAATAATTTTATTATACTCGTATCACATTAAAATGAATTCTTTATAGTCGTATTAAATTTTTTTTTATAAAATATTTTGTGCTATGCAATAATTACATACACATACATGTAAGTATATTGTAAAACTATTATATAGATTCTATGAATGAGTGTTTGGATTTCATCAAAGTGGAATGAAATATTAATCTTCTTATACATTAAATTTTTAGCCCCCTAATATATGCAACTTTACTTCTCGTCGTAATTTTTACTTCAAAAAAATGATTATTTCAAAATTCGCTTTATTTTTAATTTTATAATTTCTTTAAATAAATATTCTAAATGTTAGAATATCAATATAATAGAATATCAGGACAGTGTAAATTGTAGGTAGCAGGACTAAGATGGCTATATTATATGGCATTGTGTTCCTGCTAATTTTGCAAAACCTATACTAGAACTTTTCGTTTTTATACTCAGTTTTCTACTGCAGTATCTGCTGAACGTGCAATTGAAACCTTTAATAATTCTTACAAATTCCATTAGTATAGTTGAATATTCAAATTCTAAGCTACTTCCAAACTTGTTGCTTTATTCAAATTTAAATTAAATTCGTACTTGAACAGCATCTAATATTGTATAGAAAATTTAAGATTAGAAAATTTTTGGAAATGTAAGAAATTCTAAAAATACATAATTCCAATCCTTTTGTTTCGTTTTTTCTTGTTTGTTCAACTGTTATTATCCCTTTTGTTATAATTCTTGAAAAGAAAATTTATTTGGCGTTCCATATTGTCGTAGTTCCGTTTTCAAGTACAATTTAATTTAAACATTCACTATTAAGTTCATTGTCGAAGTAAAGAGCACTTTAATTATTTACGATTTGAAACTATACAACTCATAAACTAAAAAATTGTTTAATTTTTCATATTCTATTAACTTTTTTTTTCGAAGTATGAGTGCAATACAATGAAACAAGGGGGTAAATTTAGACTAGCGGAGAAGTGATAATGCAATATTTAGTTGACTGTGATGATATTCATGCTTATTTTTTCCCACATTTCATAGTTAATAACCATATATTTTTCAAATAGTTCATAGAAATAAACAAATGTGTACAGGATGCTTCGTATGCAAGTGCTATGCTATATACGATTGTGTGGACTC